GGATACCCTATAACATCAGCTGCAACATAAGCAAGCTATCAAACGTCCCAAAAATCAAAAAGCAGCCATCAAGCCGTGACAAAAAGGAGTGTTGCTCAAAAATTAGTCATATGATACAGATAGATAGAGTAGAGCACTTTGTACACCATATACTTGATATGTGTAATCATGTCATCCATCCTTAGAGTTGCTCCATCAAAACGAATAGCATTTCGGGTTCTCCATATCCAATATATAGTGTAGCTGAATGCTATCCTTGTTGCTTTAGCCCTTATATGCGCTCCATTGCATTCTCTTTGTATCCACTTGATTGCGCTTCTCAAGGATGTCATTTGCCTTGTAATGCCGAGCCATCCTTTAAATCTATTCCAAATCTGCCCTGTGCAACAACATTCAAAAAATAGGTGTGGTACCGTCTCCGGACCACCCTTACAAAATGGACAAATATTAACCACATCAAGGTACAACATATTATCATAGGTGGGCAGCCTATTTCGAAAGGCAAGCCACAATATGAATGAAAACTTGGGCGGGATATAAGCCTTCCAAATGAAAGGCATCCACGCATGAGATGTGCCTTTAAGTCTAAGGAGATCATAAACCTTGGATGAGGAAAGCTTGCCATTATGGACCATCTTCCCAAGGTGAGTGATGGTCTCTGTAATAGATGAGTATTTAGACACAATTAGGTCTCGGATGAGTGCCATTCTTTTCATCAATTGTGAGTCCCTATTGTGTGGAACAAAGGTCCACACATCTCTCCCATGGAGATATACACCATGAACCCACCTCACCCATAATGTGTCTTGTTTTGTGTGGATGTTCCATAAGGTACGCGACAATAAGGCGTTATTCCACACCTTAGTGTCCCTAATTCCAAGACCACCTTCTTTTTGGGGTAAACAAACATCCTCCCACGCCACTTTAGCATGCTTCCTCCCCACAAAAATACACGGCAAAGGCTAACAATTCTGTCCAAAATAGTTTTAGGAACCGGAAAGATCCTTAACCAAAATGATTGCACACCTTGCACGACGGATTTTATCAACTCAACTTTCCCCGCATAAGATCGGCCTCTCCTCGTAAGTCAACGATTCATCCAACTCGACCACCTAAGAAAGTCGAGGTTAGATGTGATACTTTGATCCAACTATCATAAGATTACGATTCGTACCTCGGGGCTAAGAATATGGGATTCGTCGCGGACATACTTCTTCAATTGGGAGATATGGAAAACGTTGTGTACCTACGCATAATACACACTTTAGTATTTAAGAGATATTTACTAAGGTATTTACTAACGAGCGGTTATAGCATGTTATACCTTAGCCAACTCGGTGGGTAGAGCTAGACGATATGACACTCTTCCCACTCGCTCGAGGATATCATATGGGCCAATGAACCTCGGGCTTAGCTTTCCCTTCTTTCCAAATCTCATCACTCCTTTGGTCGGGGAGACTCTGAGTAGGACTTTCTCTCCCGCTTCGAATTCGGCTGGCTTCCTTCCCAAGTCTGCATAAGACTTGTGACGATCTTGTGCAGCTTTCATCCTTGCTTGAATCATCTTCACTTTCTCCATGGTGTCTTGGAGGTAATCCGGCCCTAACACCACTTGATCTACCAAGTCACCCCAACATAGTGGGCTTCTACACTTTTGACCATATAGAGCTTCGTACGGGGCCATTTTGATACTGGCGTGGTAGCTATTGTTGCACGAAAACTCTTTTAAGTCTAAGTGTTCGTCCCATGACCCTTGTAGGTCTAACATACATGCTCTCAGCATGTCCTCAAGTGTTTGGATGGTCCGCTCGGTCTGACCGTTCATAGTAGGATGGGATGCAGTGCTCAGCTTCAAAGGGTCCCCATAGCTGCTTGAAGTTCCCTCCAGAATTGGGATAGGAATCTGGAGTCTCAGTCAGATACAATATCTCGGGGTACGCCGTGATACTTCACCACATATTTGATGTAGGCTTTCCCTAACTTATCCATGCTCCAAGTTTCATTCATGGGAATAAATCTGGCGGTCTTGGTCAATCTATCGACAATCACCCAAATCTTATCTTTCCCGGACTTCGTTAAAGGTAAACCCCCGACAAAGTCCATTGAGATCGAGTCCCACTTTGACGTTGGCACCTCGAAGGGTTGCATGAGTCCCTTGGGTTTGCACCTCTCGGCTTTCACTGTTTGACAGTTTAAGCATCATGCCACGAACTCTGCCACCTCGTTTTTCATTCTCGGCCACCAGAAGTTTTGCTTCAAATATTTATACAATTTGTCTCCTCCCGGGTGTACCAAATAGGGCGTGTTGCGTCTTTCTTCCATGATTTTCTTTTTAATGTGCTCACACTTCATCGGGACACACCACCTACCCTTATAGCGGATACTTCCATCTTCATGCAACTGAAACGGTCCGTTTACCCCGTTCTTCATCCCAGCCTTGACTCGTTCAAGCTTCACGTCTCCTAGTTGACCGGCCTTTATTTCATCAAAGATAGAGGGTAAAACGGTCATAGTGTATAACCGGATCTCACCCTATACTTCACCATGCTCCTTGACTTCTAAATTCAGCCTTTGAAACTCCCGATACAGCTCTTCTGGTAGTATCCATGCTGCTCGGCTCGTGTGTTCCGTTTTTCGGCTTAAGGCATCAGCTACGACATTGGCTTTTCCCTCGTGATATAGGATCTCCAAGTCGTAGTCTTTAACAAGTTCTAGCCACCTCCTCTGTCTCATGTTGAGTTCTTTCTACGGAAATATGTACTTTAGACTCTTGTGGTCCGTGAATATCTTGCATGGCGGTCCGTACAAGTAGTGCCTCCAAATCTTCAGGGCAAACACCACCGCAGCTAACTCCAGGTTGTGGGTTGGATAGTTAACTTCGTGCACCCTTAGTTGTCGAGATGCGTAAGCTACCACCTTCTTGTTCTGCATCAGTACACAGCCTAGTCCATTCTTGGATGCATCACAATAGATTTCAAATCCATCAGTTCCCGATGGAAGTGTCAAGACCGGTGCATTCGTGAGTCTTTTCTTCAGTTCTAGGAAGGCTTTCTCACAATCATCTGTCCACTGGAACTTTGTGGTCTTCTTCATCAAATTGGTTAATGGTCTAGCTATCTTGGAAAAATCTTTCACAAATCTCCAATAGTAGCCCGCTAACCCAAGAAAACTCCGCACTTCCGTAAAAGTAGTAGGTGCTCGCCACTCGGTTACTGCTTCGATCTTTGACGGGTCCACAGATACTCCATCTCGAGTAATGATGTGACCCAAAAATGCTACTCGGTCCTTCCAAAAGTCACAATTGGAAAGTTTGGCGTAAAGCTGATTTTCTCTCAAAGTCTGCAGGACGAGCCTCAGATGTTCTTTGTGATCTTTCTCGTTCTTTGAGTATACCAAAATTTCATCAATGAACACCACCACAAATGTATCAAGATATGGTCGAAATACACGGTTCATTAGGTCCATGAACACTGCTGGTGAGTTGGTTAAACCAAACGGCATCACGGTGAACTCATAATGCCCATATCTTGTACGAAATGCAGTCTCGGTATATCCTTCTCCGCGATCCTCACCTGATGGTAGCCGGATCGAAGATCAATCTTGGAAAATATACCCGCTCCCTTTAGTTGATCAAACAGGTCATCAATGCGGGGTAGAGGGTATCGGTTCTTGATGGTAACACGGTTTAGCTCTCGGTAGTCAATGCATAACCTCAAGCTACCATCTTTCTTCTTCACGAACAAGACCGGAGCACCCCAAGGTGAAACGCTCGGCTTGATATAGCCCTTCTCAAGAAATTCCTCCAGTTGTTCTTTTAGTTCTTGCATCTCCTTCGGTGCCATCCTGTAAGGTGCCCTGGAAATTGGTGTAGTTCTCGGCATCAAGTCAATAGAGAATTCAACCTCCCTTTCCGGAGGCATCCCCGGGATTTCTTCCGGAAACACGTCGGGAAATTCATTGACCACAAGAATCTGATCAACCGTTTGTTCCTCATTGTGGGTCTCCTTCATCATGCATAAGTATGCCTCACATCCCTTCCAGATGTACCTCCTCATTTGCCGCATCGTCATCAACTTGACACTTGGTTTGTTCACAATTGCCTTGAACGATGCTCGCTTCCCACTTGGGCTCTTCATGGTCACCTTCTGCTCGTTGCACAAGATTTTTGCCTTGTAACTCCCGAGCCAATCCATGCCCAGCACGACATCAATGTCTTCGAGGTCAAATTGGACAAAGTTTCCAAGTAGATTTACATTGTCTATGACTATAGGTACATTCATGTATACATTTCTACAAGCTACCACTCTATTGTTTGCTGTTTTTACATTCAATTCTATGCTAGCCGCATGTTCTATCTTTAACTTCTCAACAAATTTAGAAGAGATAAAGCTGTGAGAAGCACCAGAATCAAACAGAACATAAGCAGGAATGTTATTAACATGAATGGTACCTGAAACCACGTCATGGGCCCTGGCTTGTGCCTGGTTCATTACGTAAATGCGGCCTTGATTTCCTTGATTGCCTGCACCTTGGTTCTGGTTCTTATTTTGGTTGGCATCACGGTCGCGGTTGTTATTGTCGTGATTTCTCGGCCTATCTCCTCCTTGATTTCCACCTTGGTTTGCACCTCCTTGATTAGGCCTTTGGTTTTGATGACTCGCTTTTCCTTTGTTTAGGCATTCGAATGCTCGGTGTCCCCTCTTCCCACAAGTGAAACAGCTCACCACTTTTCCATCACAGTCAACCCCCGGGTGATCTCTTTGACACAACTTGCAATGGTAGTGCCTGTCTCTTGGCACGTATCGTTTCTCTTGCCTTGGACCCTGTCCAGGGAATCTCCTTCCCTCTTGTGGGCGATCTTCTCTCTTCCACGTATGTTGTTAGTCCTGTTGGTGAGTTTTGAACCTCTTCTCCCTTGCTTTATTCTCCTCCTCGTTCTTTCGGATTTTCTTGTGAGCTTCTCTTTGGAGTTGAATCACCCGATAGTGTTTAACAGCCCTATAATAGGTATCATCCAGTGTTTGGCATTCTTGCACACTCAAAGCCTTCTGAGTGTCATAATTAAGTCCCCTGATGAACTTCTCAACCTTGCTCTCCTCATCGGGTACTAGTGATGATGCAAACTCCGTCAGCGAGACAAATTGAGAGTGGTAATCTTGCACCGTCATCTCCCCTTGCTTTAGATGCAGAAACTTGTCGTAATTTTCCGTCTGCACATGTGGCGGGTAGAATCTTTTCCGCAGTGCACGCTTGAAGCGTTCCCAAGTGAAGACTGGTTGTGCGCGTAATCCTGGTCCCACATTAATCCACCATTTATCTGCTTCTTCATGCAGATAATAAACAGCAACGCCAACTCGTTGTTCTTCTGGGCAATGAATTGCGTTAAACATCTTGTCAAAGGTGCGTATCCAATTCTCGAGAATGATTGGATCCTCTTGCCCAAGGGTGCTTGGCGGGTTTCGTGCCGCTACACGACTTTCCATGTTATTGCCGTTATTGGGTGGGTTCTGAAACGCCACAGTGATTGTCTGGGAGAGCAGCGTGAGAGCTTGCGCCAACTCAGCATTGGCAGGGACGGCTTTCGGGTCTCTCCTCGGTGGCATGGTGTCTCAATTAATAAATAATTTGAATTAGTAAAGAAAGACTCCTCCTACTTTTCCTTAAGGATCCTAGAACTAAGGATTCCATATGCTACCAAGTTATATAACATAATTACCACGTAGGTGTAAATATTCACAGGTAGGATGCACATTTCATATCACAACACATTTCAACACTTGGGGTTCCCATTTCACATATGGGCCCATAAATTCTCAAATTTTCACACAATATATATTTAACATAAAAGTAATACTCACAAAGTCCTCACCACGTTCCTAGGAGGTTATTTCCTAGCTAATTTATTTTTCCTAGTCTTTTTTTTTACAAAAAATGTTTTGAAAATCCCTTTTTTTTGAAGGTATGATTTCCAAAGTTTTCTTCCAGGATTTCGAACAACGAAGTTTCAGCACAAGGAGAAATTCCCAGTTAGTTGGACGAGCGCAAAGGCTCAATTATGCACCAACCAGCTTAGACTATTATCGTCTTTGTGACAGAATTTCTCCCTACGACCTATTACCCCGTGTTCTCATCCCTTCAGGAAAACTAAGGGCTCTGATACTAACTTGTAACACCCCCAAATTTCCCTCCCAAAATAATACTTAAAGAAATAATAAATTTTTATTATTTATTCGAAACTTTCAATTGTTTGCAGCGGAAATAAGAATAACAAGGAAAAGGGGCATGTTACCGCCACACCCAGCCCTCAACTGACCGGATGCTAAGGCTAACCACCATAAATGTATCTAAAGTAAATATTAAATTCGACATTTGAAATAATGAAATTTAATAAAGTTTATTCATAATGAGACTACTCTAAAAGTCTTCTAGGGGCGCTCTCAAGGCATCAATCTTCATATATCACATCATCTGTAACATAGGAAAAAAAACAAATAACACGAAAATTAACTTATGCTAAGTAAGCCCCACCCAACCCCGTAAAATAATAGGTTTGGTGAAAATAATATTTTTATAGTATATATATACGAAAAAAGGAGTTTTTCTTTTAGTTGTTAAATTCATAGTGTAAAACTTATGATACACACTTTCTTTTCATAAAATTTTTTTCTAATACTCGAACAATGTCTCCAAAAAGGTAATTTATATTAAACTTTTAGTAAATTTGACGGGCGGTACTCAACATTTTATTGAGCCCGATGGTCCGTTGTTATGTACGGCCACCCCGGGACTTTCGCCGGTACCACTTCTAACCTGAGGAAATTGAACATCTACCTTAAGTGTGCACACCCCCAGAAAGGGATTCCAAGCCCTACGGGTAGTAAGAAGTCCAAGTAGTTCGGACGTCAACGTCCCCCTACTCCACCAAAAGGGATTGCCCTATATAAGTGACTAGGTTACTGCTAATACTGAATAACAGGGTCATTTGCCCGAATCTAAGATATAACCATTCTCCACAGTCAAGGTCGTGGACACCGATATAACAACTCTTTATGAGTAACAAGTAATAGCAGCCCTAATCACTCTCCACAGTCAAGGTCGTGGAGGACACCGACACCCCGGATTTCTCTCGTGATGCCCTTACATTAAAAGGTTCATTTTATCTTTATTAATCTCCAAAAATTACAGGGGTTTACTTCTCACGTAATTTCCCCCAAAGTTATTCAACGGTGCAACATAGCAAAAACATCACATATTAATAAATCACTCAACAAATAGTCAAGTAGCTCAAATATATATTCATATATATAATACGAGGTAAAAATGCATTTTGGTTGACATGAAACTTACCTCAAATTCCAGACTATTCTTAACAAGCTTCTTTAACGGCTTCTTCCCCAAGTTCACCTTCTACTAATTAAAATTTCCAGAATCAATATTCATTCTAGAATATAGTGTATTTGACCTACCCTATTTCTTTAAAAAGTCCCCGGTACGTGATGAAATTGTCTGTAAATTTGAAGATGTTGCTAGTACTATTCAATGCTTGAATTCTTTCCAATCTAATGGGAAACTTGTATCCTCAAAGGTGTATAATTTGCTTAGAATTAAAGCTCCTTCTCGTATTTGGATGACATTTATTTGGAAAGACTATATTCCTCCTAAGTTTTCCTTTACTACTTGGTTGGCATTCCGAAATAGGTTAGCTACATGTGACAATCTTCATAGATTGGATGTAGTTAACACTTGTGTGATGTGCAAGGGTGGACCGGAAACGGTTTCACACCTATATTTTGAATGTCCATTTTCAGGGAAAATTTGGAGCTTGGTTAAAGAGTGGATGAGCATGCCGCGGCTGATGAGCACACTATCAAGCTCGGTCAAATGGATAAAGAAAGAAAGGAGAGGTTCCAACATTCAAGCTAAAGCTACACGGATTGCATTTTGCTTCTCGGTTTACCACATTTGGAGGACTAGGAATGCTATCAAATTTGATGGAGTCTCCCCCAAAACTGAGGATGTTTTTGCCCGAATTAAATACATTGTCTACAAAGTTTTGTATAGCATATACCCATATGAGTTGGTAGATTTTTTAATAGCTCTTGCCCATCACCTATTGTTTTGTGATCGGCCACTTGTGCATAGTGTGCTAAACTAATTTCTCTAGTTTTGCTTTTGAGGTGATGGATTATCCTTTCTTTGGATAGCCTCCAATTTTGCCCACCTTTTTGATTGTACAGTTTAAACTATTTGGATGGTTACCTTTATATATATACTTACGGTTCATCCAAAAAAAATTAAAAAGTCCCCGGTAAGTTATTTTAATTTATCCATATACCCCATTTTAATTAATTACAAAATTAGTCTTAGTCCATCAATCACAATAATTAAGTATTTGATCGATCCACTTGAATACTCTAACCTATGCAATTAATCATATACAGTTCGATTCATACGGAGTAGTAATTAAATTGATGTAGTTGAGCTAGTCCAGATTTTATTTTATTCTAATTGGTCCATCGTTTATCATTAATCATTCAATTTTTTTATTCATTTATAGACAATAACCAGGTCATCATTTTTACTATTTTCACTATATTACGATCAGTACAGTCCAAATTAATCAATACTTCATATAATTAATTATGATCAGTCCAGATTATAACATAAGCAGCCTGTAGGTATTAATATCAGTCTAGATCATTGCTACTATTCTTTTTAAATCACAGCCCAAATTTCTATTTTAACAAGTCCAGCCCATTTATTAATTAGAGTTTCACTTTAGTTTTGTACGGGAAGAGCTAGCCTTTCTCTGCGTCTTCTTCATCGTTAGAAAATTTCAGAACAAAGCAGTTAAAGGAGCTGGAAGGTTGTTACCTGGACAACGTAAAATGGTCCGGCGGTCGAGTATCCCAGTCGAAGATGGTCAGAAGTGTACTGGCGGCAGAGGCAGTGCAGTGTTCTTCTCCGTTTCACAACGTGAAAACAGTCCGGCCACAAATCCGGCGACTGATTTCTCCCCCCTCCGACGATCATTTTCAATGTTTCTTTCACCGTTGGATTCCTCTCACGAAAGGGAAGATTTTTATAGTATTTTCACGGGTCGGTTTTGGTTAAAGTGAAGGGTCGAAAATTGTGTATATACCTATATGTATATATGTATGTCGCAGGTTTGGGGATGAAAAAAAACACAGGTTCTAGGCTATTTGTAACACCCCGGCCTCGCAGGACCCGAGGTAGCTACTCTAGACCAATAGTACTGTCCTCACAAACCACCACGAGCCTTTACCGCACACTTTGTCCCCACTCATGCGCGTCCCGAGAAACTTCCCAGGGGGTCACCCATCCCACAATAGTACTGTCCTCACAAACCACCACGAGCCTTTACCGTGCACTTTGTCCTCACTCATGCGCGCCCTGAGAAACTTCCCAGGGGGTCACCCATCCCAAGACTACTCTCGTGCAAGCACGCCTAACTTTGGAGTTCTTGAGTGATGAGCTCCTTTAAAAGGAGATGCACCTCTGTTGGTATGAGTAGTACTATTAATCTTTTTTAATTAATTTCGTGTGTTACAATCACACCCACTTAGGAACGCAACATTCTCGTTGCGCCCGTAAACCAATCTCAATCAAATCCCAAAATCCCCCCCGTTAAGTGCCTGCCCGATATCCAACGGATCAACACACTGTCGCCGGGTTGCTCTGATACCACCTGTAACACCCCGGCCCCGCAGGACCCGAGGTAGTTACTCTAGACTTATAGTACTGTCCTCACAAACCACCACGAGCCTTTACCGCGCACTTTGTCCTCACTCATGCGCGCCCTGAGAAACTTCCCAGGGGGTCACCCATCCTAAGACTACTCCGTGCAAGCACGCTTAACTTTGGAGTTCTTGGATGATGAGCTCCATTAAAAGGAGATGCACCTCTGTTGGTATGAGTAGTATTATTAATCTTTTTAAATTAATCTCGGGTGTTACACTATTATTTATAGGTGTAAGTCGAGGGTTTTAGGCTGAGAGTTGGAGTTTAAGTTAAACAGCTTCATCCCCGTTGGTAGTTATCTTCGACCTACTCGATTAAAGCTTATCGCAAGTGTGTGTTTGAGTTTTATACGGACTGTACTTGGTCGTAGCTACAGCTGGATACGTAGTTTGGTTATACTATGTGATTAGTACGTAGGTAGTTATATATTACGGAGTAATATACTACCTAGGATACTTTATATTATTACGTAGGTAGTGTTATTATATGTTATTATATGCTATATATATATATATATATATATATATATATATATATAGTCTACGGAGTATTGTACTCCCTCCGATTCCGAAACAAGTTCCACATTTGACTTCACACATATTAAGAAAATAAATTTGACTTTACTGTGCAGTGTACTGTTTGGCACTGTTTAAACACTGTTTGACACTGTTTGACACTGTTTTGATGTAGATAATAAGGAAATGTTTGAAAGTGGAACTTAATTTTGAATCTGCCAGAAAAGGAAAGGTGGAACTTGTTTCAGAAACGGAGGGAGTATATTATTACGTAGGTAGTTATATAATAGGATTCATACGTATTATATAGAGAGTATATTATCATTTACGTAGTTATGGTGTACGGACTATTATATATCAGATGTACCACTTATAGTTATTTTTAGTACGTGGTACTTTAACAGTAGAAAAGTCAAATTTGTAATTTGTGTATAAATACACAAATTACATTTGGATTAAAATAGTAAAAATGTAACTTTTATTACTTATGCCATATGCATAACCAGTATTCGTTATAAAACGTTACTTCTATTATGGGACAACTTTTATCAGACTAAAATGTCACAAATGTTAAATTTTGTCTGGTTCTTAAAACGTTGTTTCTATTATTAAAATATTTTTATCTGACTAATAAAAATTATTTTTATTTTTATTTAAATTTTTGGAGTGTCACAATAGTGACTGACCCGGTCGGGCGTAAGCTGTTCACCCGAGGCAGAGAGTTTTTGCTGGGTTGCCCGGCCGAGTATAGGGGTCTACCCGGTCGGGCGGTTGATTTATTCTTTGTTCTTCATCTGCCTCGCCCGGGCGGTTGGCCGGGTGCTGTGTTTTAAGAGGTAACCCGACCGGGTAGGGTTTTATACCCGGCCGGGTTCAATCCGAGGTCATTTTTTTGGAAATGTGTAAGAATAAAACAAAACAAGTAAACGTACCTTGCATGAGTTGCCTCCCAAGAAGCGCCTTATTTAACGTCGCGGCACGACGCCATCATTGTGTTCAATCATTTAAACTTGGATCTTTATAGTTTAGCTTCGCCACATTTTCACTCCTAGGGCTTCCATAGGAATGCTTGATTTTCTGAACCTTCACTTTGAAAATCCCTCCATGATCAAATATCCAGATTTTCATTGATTCATGTGGTGGGAGTGAGGGAAAGAAATTATCGTTTAACATGGTCAATGGAAAATGTTTGGATCCCTCAATTGTGCTGAGAATTTCAAAAATGTCACTCTCCTTTTCAATTTTATGAGTTGCCCTCAAAGTTTTTAGAACTGATGGGGGTACCTCAAAGAATGATAAGGATAGGTATTTGAAACTCGGTTCATCATCTTCTTTGACCAGTTGGAGCTCCGTGTCTTTTTCTTCTTCCACTTCTTCTGGATTCTGGATCTCCTTTTTCATTTCCTTTTCATTTGTCAATGTGATTGCAAAAGTTTGCTGTTTAGGATCACATTCTATTTGAGAAGAAAGTTTTTCCGAATCCTTTTCTTCAAGCCTACTCACGGCTCCGGCTATTTGACTCATTTGAGTTTCCAAGTTTAAAATGCTAGACTTGGTCTCATTTTGGAATTGCACCATGTTGTTTTGCATGGTGGTCATGTTGGTAGCAATAGTCCGGACCATATCTTCTGTAGACATGTTAGAGTTGGAGAACAGATCATACCTCATGTGAGGTACATCCCTTTCGTAACCAACATCATCAATTTGTTCAAGGTATTCATCTTGGAGTTTTGGACAGAAATCCGTAAGATGCCTGTAAGACATGCAAATGTTGCATGTCTTGGCATCTTGAGCTTTTGAGCTTAAGATAAATTCCTTTATTAGAGAAGTCAAGAAGGAAATTTGACTCTCTAAGAATGAAGTGTTGGTATCCATATACTCACAACTCATGTAAGCTCAGAAAATAGAAGAGTAAGTTTTTTTTGTGTATATTTCTTTTTTTTGTTTTTGATTTTTATGAGATAAAATAAAAAGAAAATAATTGCCTTTCCCCGGCAACAGCGCCAAATTGACGAGCAATTTGTCACGGTGCGTCAAAATAAATTCAATACTAGCACTTATACGTAGTATAGCGTAGTAGAGTTCGTACCGCAGGAAAAGGAATGATTCTCTTTTTATGAAACTAGTAATTAAAAAGTGGGGTTTTGGTTTTGAATGATTTAATTTAATTAAGAAACTAAGATGAACAACCTATATGTGTTTAATTCAAGAATAAAAGGGACTTGGCTTTGCTACTTTCCACTTGTTGATATAGTTTAGTTGATCCTTGTTATATCTATAACTTATCCCCTCTCGAATACTCAATCGAGGAGTATCTTCCAATTCATCGAGGGTAGTTATTAACAACGACCGTTCATTAGTAACCCTTACTATTAATCAAATATAGAACAACGCCGTATACCGATATAATAGTAGCATTCAACTTTTTTTAACTCCTTGATGAAATCAGTTCAGATTGATAACCTTAACACAACGGTTTCGATTTAACAAACAAAATTGATCCCTCTTTAGTCTATTAACCACAACCGTGCATTAATAAACCGATGTTACTTACTTGTGAAACCACCAACGATTAACCATCGGTTCGTTGATCGTTTCTAGTAGTAATTAATGTCGGAACGTTAACTAATCGTCACTTAGCAACCCTCCAATATTAATATAGAATGAGATTAAGGGAAGAATTAATAATCAAGAGAAGAAGTTAAGAAAATAACTCACAACTTTAATAATCGACAAGCTTCAAGAGCAAAACCTAGAAATGGAAGTTTAGCCCCTCATTTGGAGACTAAACATGCTATAAAAATATAAGAAATGCTATTCTAAACTGAGCTTAGGAGTATATAAGAACGGATGATTTTTAGAGAAGAAAAAGCGTGCTATTTATAGGTGTTTTTCAACACCTTTGGCCGGGTACCCGACCGGGTCAAGTACTTACCCGACCGGGTCCGGTCAAAATCAGATAATCCACCACGTTCTGGTGATCTTTGCACGTCGTTTTGTCCCTGGTCACATCTGACCCGACCGGGTCAAGTAGGGGACCCGACCGGGTCCAGTGATTTTTTTGGCAATTTCGTTTGTTAAAGCATACTCGACCGGGTGGGGGTTTCTACCCGGTCGGGTTTTACTCCTGGGCAGTCAAATTTCTTGTTTTCTTCTCTTCAAAGTCTTCCTTTCCAACACCACAAATCCTAACTATACTTTACAACTTATAAATAAAGACTAAAATACAATTACAACTGAAATCACATAAATGTTTACAAACTAAATAAAATGTCAAACAATCAACATAAATCTAACATAAAAACATGTAATTATGCACTACTAATTAGTGTGCATCAGCATGATATCACCTGCCTCCACAATTTCTCGAATGAAATGGAACCTGACATCAATGTGCTTGGTCCTGTCATGAAACACAGGGTTCTTGCTGTAACACCCCCAAATTTCCCACCCAAAACGTTGATATAATTACAATAAAACTTTTATTTATTGATAATGAAAATTTAAAGAAATACAGCGGAAGTCTAAAATAGGGAAATGGGTGTTACCGCCACATCCGGTCATCTCTCAACCGGACGCACAGGCAACTAAAACATAACAACTAATTTAATAAAAATAAAGTGTTTGTAAAGTAAATGTTTATTTCATGACTAGTATAACTAAGACGACTACTAATTCGCTCTCGGGCCATGCAAGCAATCATCAATCGACAAAATCATCCTCACCTGCACAAATAAAGTGCAGAAACAAAACAAGGAAAAGAAAACAAAAATTAGCTTTAGAGCTAAGTAAGTACTACCCAACCCCGTAAAATAATCATGTTTGACTAAAATAGATCTTTATATAATAATATATAAAAAATACGCACACCATCGAAATTCTTTTCA